TAACATTATAATTACATTCCTATTCTATACTTAACAGATTTCATAGTAGGTAATTATTATGTTTGGCCGTTTGGGCGTCCACAATATACTTAATATTCATGTTGTAGCAATTTCTATAACAACTACGATTTTTATATTACCTATAGTTATGCGAAGAAGCGCAGAACTGGGCCAATCATTTAGCACACACAGAGACGTTTGCTTATCAGAACAAAATTAATTACGGACAGAATCTGTTCTGCCGGAAACCGACGAACACCGAAATCGAAGGTATGCATTTTTTTGCAACATGATACAATATTCTATAGTTACAATCAATGTGAAAGGTTTTTTTTTTTAACCATGTTTCTTTATAAATTGAAACGCAGGAAAGGACGTAGTCCGTGAATGGTATTCGACTTCGAGAATTTACAAACCGAGAAAGAACCCAAAATTGTACTCGGCCAACATAAATTCAGGTAAATCACCGCCGCTCTTCACTGAGTGGTATACCTATTTTTTTTTTCTAATCGTAAAGTATTAATATATAATCAATATTTTAAATGTCAAATACAAATTATCAACACCACGATGTAATATACATAGGTACAGAGAAACCTCTTTAAATACCGAACACTTTCAAACATTAGCTGAAATTTTAACCAACTATATGTCCGTTAGGGGAGATTTCATTGTACGTTGTGTGATAAATTATAATATATCTATAGGTCCTTTCACCCAACTCGTGTGGTCAAACACCAAAGAGTTGGGCGTCGGAAAAGCGTGCAGCCGGTCTGGTCGGATAATCGTAGTGGCCAATTACCTGCCGAAAGGAAACGTCAACGGTCAGTACGCCAATAACGTACATATGAACCAATACTTTTTGCCAGCCAATAAGAAGAAATTAGAATTCATYACAAGACAAGGAGAATAGAGACGCGACACCGACTCCGACAAACTATATATTATAATAATATATATTATGCTCAAATACCATTTAAATGTCACGAAAAAATTATATATTGTATTATTATAAACATCATCGCACTTTGTTCGAATATATTTTAACCACAATGTAATTTTATGGTTTCGTGAGTTTTCGCAGTAAATTATCACCACCTTTTTTTAAATTTTTTAAATTTTTTTTATGACTGACTATTGTTATTGACCTATGACGTAGTTCCAATCAATCGGAGGACCYGACACGGTATTACTTCATAATCGACACAATATATTATAATAATATTATACGACTGATCGATACGTATTGATTATATTACATTACTGTTTATGTTGTATAAACTACATAGGTACCTAGGTAAACGACTGTTGTATTATTATTAAGTCTTAATTATTATTACTGTACCAAATGTGACTATAAATAATTCGTTTTATAAAATCTAATATCTTTTTATGTCAAGCTTCAATCGTATAATATATGTATTATAACAATGACATTTTTTGAAAATTCCGTTTACTAGACGTTAAAAATACGTATCGTTTTTACTAGTTCTGAACTCGGACACCTCCACATTTTGTATCAAATCAACTGTACGTAATGTTCGATTTTATCATATGTTGTCGTCTAAATACCAGACCATAATTTGAAACAAAAAGTTTAGATTATCTGTATGTTAAACACACTGCGACCATATTACATTAAATATGTTTAAATTATKATGTAAACAATATACACGGTCATTATGTCTTTACTATTAAAATTATTTAATATGAAATTATTGAAACCGTATTATTAAAATATGTAAATATACTTTTTTCTTTTTTGACAATTGTACGAGCATATACCATCCTGTGTACTAAAAAAATATTTTTAGCCTCATAGCTGTGGCCTAAAATTTCTTAATATTCCATGTAAATATTTAAAT